GAGGGGGCGGGTACAGCTGGCTCTGCCTCTAGACAGTAATGTCGGGATCCGTCCTGGCAGCGGGGGTCTCAGTATACCACGAGCTGTAGCTCCCGGTATACTGAGCTTTGGGTCATGGGAGGACGCTAGTTTATGTCCTCCCGTGACCCTGAGGAGAACTCTGGGGAAAAGCTCTTACCCCATAGTTCTCCTTTAAAAGAAAATGTAACTATATGTGATATGGTACTACAAATCCCAATACACACAATAAGGCCCCATTCATATCTGTAGATTTAGGTGCAATTAGGGATTCCTGCTTCAGAAACTTGCGTTTTCCTGCAGCAGGAATCCCTAATCTGATGTTTACATGCGGCCGCTGTCACCCATTCAAGTTTATAATCAGGTGACAGCAGTTGCATGTACATGCCTGCACACTGCATGTAATGATATGTGATATTATTACATGCGGTTAGAAAACACTCTTCCTGGATACACAATCATTGCGTCCAGGGAGAGTGATTGATTCCTAACCGAATGTAATAATATCACATATCATTACATGCGGTGTGCAGGAGTTTATATGCAACTTCTGTCACCTGATCATTAACTTGAATAGGTGACAGCTGCCGCTTTTAAATAAGGGACTGCAATATACAGGGGTACAGGTACTCCTAGAATGAGATCCTAATAGGTTGGACTTGATGGACTAATGTCTTTATTCAACCTCAAATACTATGTAATTATGTAACTTATACTCTTTCTACCCCCTTTTACATAAAAAAAACAAAAACCTATCCCTGCACATAAAATAATACACCCCCATACACATGAAAAAATACCCACACACACACATTTTTATATATATATATATATATATATATGTATGTATAAATATATAAAATTCACAGTCCACAATATAATTCCCAGTCTTACCCCACCGCACATCCACCCACCCGTAAGTTAAATACACAGCCCCCTCTCCGGCTTACCTTGTTGCAGGGAGGAGGCTGTGAGCGGCGCCACAATTACCGATCCGTTTATCTAGTGGCGATTAGTAATATCTGTTGCAGACATTACTAATCTAATCAATCCTTTCAGCCTGCGTTTTTCGAAGACGCCGGCCGAAAGGATCCGAGTGCCGGCACAGAAGCAGCTATGCGGTGTGCATCTGACAGAGATGCAGACCGTGTAGCTGCTCCCGCAAGTCTGGTACGCGGTCCGTGACCATGTACCAGACTTGTGAGCGGACTGTGGGCCACATAGTACCAGCTCGTGGGCCGCAACTGGCCTGCGAGCCGGTACTTTGAGACCACTGCTTTATATCATCTCCCTACTCAGTCTTTCACTCTTGGTGATGGTTCGTACTTCCGGGCTATTGATAAATATCTGGTGGAATCCGATCTCCCTAGACTTCAGCCTGCAGAGATAGCACATTTGGAGGAAGTGCTAATGCTTGAAGAATACCTGTTGGAAGTTTGAAGTTTGTTTGGGCTGTGCAGGTTCTCAGGTGGGCTGTGCGGGCTCTCTGGTGGGTTATGCAGGTTCTATTGTGAGCTGTGCCGACTCTCAGGTGGGTTGTGCAGGTTCTATGGTGGGCTGTGTGGACTCTCAGATGGCCGTGCAGGTTCTATGGTGGGCTTTGCGGACTCTCAGGTGGGTTGTGTTGTGTCTATGGTGGGCTGTGCAGGCTCTCAGGATGCTGTGCAGGTTCTATGGTGTGCTGTGGAGGGTCAATGGTGAGCTGGGCGAGCTCTCAGGTGGGCTGTGCAGACTCTGGTGAGCTGCGAGGACTCTCAGGTGGGCTGTGCAGGTTATATGGTGGGCTGTGTGGGGTCTATGGTGGGTTATGCAGGTTCTATTGTGAGCTGTGCCGACTCTCAGGTGGGTTGTGCAGGTTCTATGGTGGGCTGTGTGGACTCTCAGATGGCCGTGCAGGTTCTATGGTGGGCTTTGCGGACTCTCAGGTGGGTTGTGCGGGCTCAAAAGTTGGGCTATGCAGGTTCCATGGTGGGCTGTGCAGGTTCTCAGGTGGTGTGTAGGTTCTATGGTGGGCTGTCCGCACTCTCAGTTGGTCTGTGCAGGCTCTCAGGTGGCTGTGCAGAGTCTATGGTGGGCTGTGCGGACTCTCAGATGGCTGTGCAGGTTCTATGGTGAGTTGTGTGGACTCTCAGTGGGCTGTGCAGACTCTAAGGTGGGCTGTGCAGAACCTTAGGTGGGTGGTGTGGGCTGTGCAGATTCTATGGTGAGCTGTGGGGACTCTCAGATGATTGTGCAGGTTCTGTGGTTGGCTGTGCGGACTCTCAGGTGGGCTGTGCAGAATCTCAGGTGTGGGCTGTGCAGGTTCTATGGTGGGCTGTGTAGGGTCTATGGTGGACTGTGTAGGGTCTATGGTGGGCTGTGTAGATTCTATGGTGAGCTGTGGTGACTCTCAGGTGGGCTGTGCAGGTTCTATGGTGGGTTGTGTGGGGTCTATGGTGGGTTGTGCAGGTTCTATTGTGAGCTGTGGGGACTCTCAGGTGGGCTGTGCAGGTTCTATGGAGGGCTGGCTTTGGTTTAAAAAATGTAAAGCATCGGTATCTGTGCATCCCTATTGGAGTAGGCACCTGGGACTGGGAGCTGCTGTGGAGAGCCAGCTCTCCACCACCCTAGAGGCCGCAAGGCTCCCATGACTGTGAGGCCTTAGGCGACTACCTAAAATAGCCTATTGGTAGAGTCGCCTCTGGCAGAGGGTTAAGGATCAACTGAAGTCCCTTTCTGTGCCCCCCTCCCCACAATGGAATGCAGTAACTATGGATGAAATCCACACATGTATAGAGATATGGTGTCACGATTCTCGACTTACCTGTATCAATCGTGGGGGTCCTCGCACTCGCAGCATGTCGGTAATTGGCACTTTTGTCAGTGACTTGTGTCCTACAACTTCCCTGTGTGGAAATAGTGAGGCCTCTTGCACATGTTTAATGGCATTCTTACATCAAAATAGCAGCACTGGAGTGCTTCCTGTTATAGACAGGAATTGCTTCACTTCTGCCACACCTCCTGACATCACTTCCTGTTGGATCACTATAAAGCTGTAAGGTTCCAGCGAGAGAGTGCTCAGTTGTTTCAGAGCTATCCACAGTGTGTTCCAGTTGCTAGCCGTGTGATTCCGGTACCTGACCTTTGCTTCCTTTATTGAGTTTGATCCTTTGCTGCCTGCCCTGACCTTATGCTTCGTTTGACTATGATTATTGGACTTACCTTTTTGTACCACGTATTTGGAATATTTGCCTGATTCTTCTCCTGAGTACGCTATCCCGAGGTGTGTGCCCCTGCTATTGGGCTCTGCCTTCCAATTACTGACATATGAACAGTATTTATGTTACCCTTTCCCTGCTGAAATTGTCCCTGGCTGTTTTAAACACCTGTTTTTGTATTTAACTGCTTGAAGACCAGGTGTTTAGATCCCCTACCTGGCCAGGCCATTTTTCAGTGTTCAGCGCTGCAGTACTTTGACTGACATTTATTCCGTCACGCAACGCTGTACTGAAATGAATTTTATATTTTTTGGGGACAGATAGAGCTTTCTTTTGGTGGTATTTAATCACCACTGCGGGTTTTATTTTTTACTATATTCAGGAGAAATTACTGAAAATTTTGAGAAAAAAAAGTTTTTTTTTACATTATGCTATAAAACAACTAATATTACCCACTTTTTTGGTAAAATATAAAAGACGGGGTCACGTCGGGTAAATAGACACCAAACATGTTAAGCGTAAAAATTGCGCGCACTCGCAAAAACGCAAAAAACTAGCATACCCAAAATTGGCCATAGGCGACGCTTTAAAAGCTTTTACCGCTCATCAGTTTAGTGTTATCAGTGATTGATGGCCCTAGAACTATTGCTCTCATTCCGACGTTCGCGGCGATATGTAACATGTGCGGCGTAATGGGTGCAATCGTCGTTTTTGCAGGTATGCGCACCTGACGCATGTTTACATGCGTGTATGTAGGGGTGGGGACTTTTTTAAAAAAAATTGTTTTTTTTAATTCTTTTTTGTGTAACTTTAAAAAAATTGGGGGGGAAACTTTAAATTTTTGTACTATTTTTTTTTTTCACTTAACTTTATTGCTATCACAGAGGGGGCTGAGAAACCCCCTTATGTGATAGCAAAAGAGGTGACAGGTCCTCTTTATGGAGACATCAGGGGGTCTCCAAGACCCCTAATGTCACCTAGGACCCCCCTGAAGAAGCTGATGAAGCAGAGATCTGCTTCATCAGCTTCTCTCCAGCATCTGAAGCTGGAGAGTGACACAAGAATGCGGAAGTGATGTAATATACAACACTTCCGCATTCTGACAGCGGAGAGGGGACCGGAGGGAGCTCGTGTACCGAGCTCCCTCTGATCCCCTGTGACAGAGGCACTATGCTGGTCCCGGGCTCACACCGGAGCCCGGGACCAGCTTGACAGCGGGAGGGGGAGAGCCGCGGAGGGGGGGGGGCGCACGTCTCGGGGCTTCATACAAGCGATCCGCCGGCTCTATAGCCGGCGGATCGCTTGTATATTAACGGGCATCGCTGCCTCTTTTCAAATAGCGGGGGTTTCCCGCTCTCGCCCGGCGTATACACGCCCAGTTACATCCAAGAAGCTCCCGGCAGGCCGTGTATACACAGCGGCTGGCCGGGAGGTAGTTAAAGTAGATGTTTCAGTAACTTTATTGCATCTGCATAAATACATTCCTGATTTTACCATAACATTTAAAAAAGGTACAGCAATCTTGACTTCAGACTGCAGTGGAAAAAATGGTGTGAATGGACTCTAAAGTTGTAGCCCACAGCAAGATTTCAGACTGAACTTTTCATCAGCAGGGAGTGCTCGGGATTTCTGATAGCTTGCTAAGGTTTACTATACCTTGTTCGTTGTTCTTTACTGGTTTTTAATAAGTATTCATAGTATGTTTCTTGTTAAAGTATACATAATGCAGTTCAATAGTATACAGTTTTTTATGTAAATAATGTGGATTTCATGATCTTTTTTCAGGATGAGGGAACTCACACTTGTAATACACCAACCCCGGCAAACTCAGAAAATTACCCCCCCGAAAGTCAGCATATGTCTCAGTGTTTATCAGGACCACCCCTTGGCTTAGAAGTTGCTAGTCCATGCAGTCCATCTTTTGTAGAAGAACCACCAGTCAAAAAGATGAGAAAGCACAAGGAGGAGAAAGTGATAAGCCCAGCTCTACTTTCAACAGAACCACTTCTAGCTCAGGTGAGTCAATGCAGCAACCATCAACAGCTGTTTGTTCACCATACTAATTATATGTAGGCTTATTGTTTTCCTTATTGGTCTTCCCCAGGTGAAGATTGAGGAAGATTACTTGTGTGATGGTGGTGAGGAACTAAACCTGAGTTGGCATCCTCTCAGCCCAAGAGACAAGATTCTGCAGTACACCAAATTCTCCAGCCCTGGACCATGTACAGATTTTGACTAATCCTTTGAGCCCTAACACAAAGTGATATGACTTCTATCAGCTGAAATATATCAATGGGCCTGCTAAACAGCAGACATACTAATTTGAGATTTGAATTAGTCCCTAAAAGCTTAGAATGTAGGACTCATATAGGATAGTTAGTATGTTGAAAGCGATGCAATGTGAATTCTGTAACATTAGTTTAAAAGAATACATCCAATAAAAGAGCTGCATACACAATTGACACACCTATAAAGACACAAAGGGAGGACTAGGGATTTTGGCCTAGGGGAAATACAACTAACTGGCCCTTTCACATAAGCTGGTGAATGGAGTAATGTTAGAGTAATTTTATAGAGCAGTTTTTTGTGATATACCTTTTTCACATATGCATGCAAAGGGGATTGAAAAGGATAATGTACATTTTAAAAGATGAGATACTTTATAAACTAAACAAGATGTCTGTTCTCTGAAATGCTGAGTAAAATACCATACACTGATCACATTGAATCCTTGCCTTTCAGTTTCCTTTTAAGATAATCTGTAACTGTTGCTACTCATAGGGTATAAAGTGACAGGTATTTCTGCTAGCTTTTCTTTGCTGTTCTGTTCCTCTGTGGAAGCCGTGGCTCAGCCATGTCAGAGCTTACGATTGTTTAATTACCTCCACCCCCGGTTTAAGTGACAGTGTCTGGTAACAAAGCAGCACAGGAGTGCAGCGAAGGGGAGTATCAGTGAGTGGAGGGTTGGTTTATTATTATTATACAGGATTCATATAGCGCCAACATTTTCCGCAGCGCTTTACAATATAAGGAAGACATAACAATACAATTCAAGACAAGATGGTAAGGAGGGCCCTGCCTGTGATGGCTTACATTCTAAAAGGGAGGAGCAGGTAATACACGAGCAGGTAGCTGTGTGGGAAATAAATTGTTTTTGGGTTTTTTTCCCCCAATTCTGTTTATTAAATTATTCGATCTTTACACATACACCAATTTACAAGAATCACTAAAACACCTACATGATATTCATATACATAATATAGCTCAATACATTACCTCCTCAAGGTATATATATGTGTATAAGTGAATAATGTCCCAGTGAAAAAATGCCAAAAAAACTTTGTATTAATCAAGTGATAAAAAGGTGTATAAACCTAATTCGTGTTGGTAAATCTAAGCTTCTACGTGGATACAATGTGAAAATTTTTTAAAAATATCTCATAAGTGAATAATAAGGGTGAAAATTGCGATAAAGTGACAAATTATCACAAATAACAAAATTCTCAAACCATTGAGTCAAACCGTTAATAAATAAAATTAACGAAAAACTGTTGTACAGATAAAGTGCAAATAATTCCTCCAAAATTCTGATTCGTGATGTGATTTAACAGATGACAAATAATTGCAAAGTGAGACTGACTCTGGTGAGTACCGATTACCTGGGGGGACAGTTGATTGGAAGATCGAATTTAAAAGGACTCTATATTTATTTTCGTTTGCTTGGGGAATTGGATTCAAATGAATTTTATATATAATTTTTATTAGGTTTGCACATTCAGTTTGTTCTATCGAGTACCTTTGATTTACTCATCACTCGGTTACTAGATTCACCTTTATTTCATATCTAAATTAGTCTCTCACTGTGCAATTATTTGTCATCTGTTAAATCACATCACGAATCAGAATTTGAGGAATTATTTGCACTTTATCTGTACAACAGTTTTTCGTTAATTTCATTTATTAACGGTTTGACTCAATGGTTTGAGAATTTTGTTATTTGTGATAATTTGTTACTTTATCGCAATTTTCACCCTTATTATTCACTTATGAGAGATTTTTATTTTTAACATTTTTTCACATTGTGTTGCATTGTATCCACGTAGAAGCTTAGATTTACCAAAACGAATTAGGTTTATACACCTTTTTATCACTTGATTAATACAAGTCTTTTTGGCATTTTTTCACTGGGACATTATTCACTTTTATATATATATACCTTGAGGAGGTAATTAGTCCCCCAATTTGGTGGATATATATATACCTTCCTAACAAGGCAATATATTATTTTATATTTTACACCCACCTTTTTTACGGAATTTACCTTTAGCGCTGTGTTATTACTTGCACATTTTTATTTATTACTTTAACTTTACATAGTTGCCCATTGACATCAGTCCCTACCCTCAAGGAGCTTACAATCTAAGGTCCCTATCTCACATGCATAGAGGGCCAACTTAGAGAGGAGCCAATTAACCTACCAGCATGTCTTTGGAGTTTACTAAAATAATATGCTATATCCTGTATAACATATCCAGCCTACCGATTGCCCCCACCTCTAATTACCCCACTGTCAACCAGGATACATACATAAATACCACCCTTATCCTCATCTCAAGATATAACGCGAGATCAGGGATTCTGAAACCAACCCCGTATTAGAGAGCCACACATTCCATAACTTGAAAAACTTTTGAGGGCTGCCCCTATGCTGGTACATCAATTTTTCTTTAGGCCACAATAAGTTGAACAGTATATGCCATTCACTCACTGTAGGGGGTTTAATAGCCAACCATTTTAACCTCTTCATGACTGTAGACATACACTGTACTTGATCAGCTATTTGGAGATGTCAAAAGCCGGTAACCGATGAGAATCAGCGGTTACCGTTCGTTAATGGATGCCTCAGTATTGAGGCATGCATTAATGAAAGAATTAAACTTTTACAGATACCTGAACGTTGTCAGCGATCGAGTATCTGACAGTGATAACAGAGTGGTGTGAAGCGCTCGCAAGGATCTCTTAGGATATATCCTCCCGTCAGTAGGAATCCTGGATCATCCTGCAGCATGACTTCCAGTTGAGGGACCTGGTTCGATACACGGGTTCCGTCTTGAACTGGACACCAAGGATCAGATCATCCAAACGATCTCCGCGTCTTTGGTAGTCATCATTGTCTTTGCGAATCAACGACCTGGTTTGGACTGTCAACCACTTTCTATTTCGGAAAAATAAATAAGTTGAGTACATATTCTCTTCAATTGATATTTCCATTCTCTAGCTATGCTATATAAATGATATAGTGACTGGTTCATTATCCTTCAGTTAGCTAAACGTTAATGAACAATCTCCAGGATCATGGTATTCTGCTATGATTGGCAGGACCAATCAATGCGGAGAAGCTCAAGATATGAAGATCTGTAAGCTGAGAGAAAATATCACAATGTCAAATCATTTATCACATTCACTTGAGATACTTATTAAGTCTCTTCTTCGGCATCACCATCCAGTATTCTTAATTGAGACCTAGGATGACAAGCACGCAATTGATTGACATGAACCCATTTTTCTGTAAAACCATCATTCTTAACAATTTTTATTTTGTAAACCACGGGTGAGATTTTGTCGATTATGTTGTAAGGACCTTTCCATGACGGAAGTAACTTCTTTTCTTTTACTCAGTCTTGAGCAAAATTGTAAAGATACACCTCATACTCCTTCTTGGTGGTTTTGAGATCATAATAAGTTGTATTACTTATGGCTGCTTTCTCAAGATTCTTCCGTGCGAAAGCAAAAGCATGTTGAAGATGTTGACGAAGGTTCTTCACATACTGATGTGTCGTGGCTGCATTGATCAGATTATGATCCGATGTGCGATACAACAGATGTTGTGGAAGGACCATTTTCGTACCTGTCATCAGCTCAAAGGGTGACATCTTAGTGGTAGCACCTGGAGTGGCCCTGATAACCATGAGCACTAAAGGCAACTTCATGTCCCAGTCTTTACTTGATTCCTTTACGAATTTCTTAAGGATGTTAACAATTGACTGGTTATAGCGCTCTACTAATCCACTTGATGCTGGATGATAAGCAATGTGTAATTTCCGTTTTACACCCAAAATCTTCCACATCTTAGACATTACCTCACTTATGAAATGCAGTCCATGGTCCGTGTCAATCCTTAATGGTAGGCCAAATCTGGAAAATACATGGTTAATAAGCAAAGTGGCGCATGTTTCGGCTGTTTTATTATGAGCCGGTAAACACTCTACCCACTTGGTAAAAACACGAATAACCGTTAACATGTATTTGTTTCCTCTGGATGACCTTGTGACAGGACCTATAAAGTCAACTTGTATATCGGACCATGGCAATGAGAAACCCTTTTTCTGAAGTGGGGCACTTCAGTTGTGCTTGAGGTTGGGGTTGGAACTGAGCACAAACCAACCTTGACAGTAGGTTTGGACATCTTTCAACATATGAGGCCAATAATTTTACAAGACAGTTGTGGGTAGCTAGGCCAATGGCCCCCCAGGTGTGATCTCTCCCCCTACAATATAATCAATTACAAAACAACAGGAAAAAAATACCGGGGTTTATGAGAGATATGACACCATGGCTTGAAGTTTTTTGAAAATACATTTTTATTTAAATAACACATATGATGCAAATATACATACAAAATTGAATAAAAAAGGGGGCAACAGCAGTTCCAGCTTCCATGTCTTGACATGGAAGCCGGAGAAGCCTGTCTGCAGGTGGATGGGAGATATTAAGGTGGCCACAATCGATCAGACCCTTTGATCCTTATCACAACCCTTTACCTCATAGCCAACTTATGACAGTTCTATGGACGTTGGAGTATAAGAACACCGCAAGATAGGTGTAGGCAGCCCCTTCTCTCCTGCCTGGACTGGTGGTCCCTCCCTCCTATAGCGGCACCGTGATCCTCCTTTCCTTCCCTCCTTGGGACACAAAGAACTGGCCGGAGCATTTCCCCTTTGGAGGACTGTCTCCCCACCTAGGCTCCACACAGAGAGCTAGACCCTCAGTAAGCCACTCCACTTGGGTGGGTAGGTCACAATCCCCTGAAGAAGCCAAGTTGTGAAACGCGTAGGGATTGGACATATAGAATATATTGATCTATAATGGTTATGTCTAGTGGGTTTATGCCTCTGGTTTAACCTTGTTTTTAATTGGTTGCAACTGCTATTGCCCCCTTTTTTATTCAATTTTGTGTGTATATTTGCATCATATATACATATGTTGTGTTATTTAAATAAAAATTTATTTTCAAAAAACTTCAAGCCATGGTGTCATATCTCTC